GCTCTTTTTTTTGATCATGGCTTTCAGATAGCCCAATAATTTTTAAATTATCTTTCCTGGATCTATTTTTCAGGTCAGTTGTTTTTCCAATGAGATGTTTCACATTGTTTTCTAATTTTTCATTCTTTTGGATTTGTTTTACAGTGTCTTGATTTCTCATCAAGTCACTAGCTTCCAATTGCTCTATTCTAATTTTTAAGGAAGTATTTTCTTCAGTAATCTTTTGGACTTTTCCATTTGGCCAATTTTGCTTTTTAGGGCATTCTTCTCCTCATTGGCTTTTTGGACCTCTTTTGCCATTTGGGTTAGGCTATTTTTTAAGGTGTTATTTTCAGTATTTTTTTGGGTCTCCTTTAGCAAGCTGTTGACTTGTTTTTCATGATTTTCTTGCATCACTCTCAGTTTTTCTTCTACTTCTCTTACTTGCTTCTCAGAATCCCTTTTGAGGTCTTCTGAGGCCTGGGACTGATTCATATTTTTCTTGGAGGCTTTGGATGTAGGAGCTTTGGTTTTGTTGTCTTCTTCTGGTTGTATGTTTTGATCTTCTTTGTCACCAAAGTAAGATAATATAGTCTGACTCTTTTTGTGCTGCTTACTTATGATCCCCGCCAATTACTTGATTTTTAAATTCTTTGTTAAGGTAAAAGTCTGCTTCCAATGTGAAGAGTGTACTGTCCCAAGCTTTGGGGGTTTGTACAGCTGTTTTCAGAGGTACTTCTAGGGACCTGTAAATTTTCAATTCTTCCAAGGTGGTATGATAAGGGGCGAGGTGTTTCCTCTCCACAACCACAACAAGCTCCACCAGGCCAGGGCTCCTCCTCACCCCAGGACCGCCCCTCAGAACTGTGACCCAGATCCAAGCACGGGCAAAACAAGAGAATCCTGCCTCAGCACCAGCAAAGAGATTCTTGCGATCCCCCTCTGATTGGCCACTCGATTCCCCCTCAGTCTGTGGGCCAGAAGCTCAGGAAAAAGCCGTGGCCCAGGGCCGTGCTCCAGACTTGCAGCTGAGACCTAGCTTCTTCTCTCACTGCAGTCACAGACTTTTCCCACTGACCTTCTAAGTCATCTTTGGCATTCAGGGGTTAAGAAGTCTGGAAACCGCTACAGCTGCCCGTGATTCAGTCCTCTGAGGCCTGCTCTAGGGTTGCTGCGGCCTGTGCGCCCACGCCGACCTGCCCTCCTCTCCCCGCCTGGTGTGATATACCTTTCTGATCAACCATCCAGGCTGTCTTTGGTTGGAAATTTGTTTCACTCTGTCTTTTGTGGGTTCTGCTGCTTTAGAATTTGTTTAGAGCCATTTTTTTAGGTATTTGGAGGGGTTTGGGGGAGGGGTTCAAGACAGTCACTGCTTTCCCTCCACCATCTTGGCTCCACCTCTGGTGGGCTGTTATATTAATTCTTTATGGAAGGGTTCTTAATTTTTTTTGTGTCACGGACCTTTTGGGCAGGCTATTGAAGCCTATGAATTCTTTTTCAGAATCATGTTTTTAAAGGCATAAGTAAAATACACAGAATTACAAAGGATGCCATACACACACACACACACACACACACACACACACACACAAATACAATTATCAAAATAGAAAAAAGCAGTTTCAGGGACCCCATGTTAAGAAATCCTGCTCTGCAGTATGTAATGGAGATAAAGCCTGTGACTAGTGAATGTAGCATCTTGAGACATGCAAACAAATCAAAGTACATCATATGACAATGGAAATATATTTTAGATGCCAAGAAAGTTGCAGTGTGTCTGGGTATTTTCTTTTCTTTTATATTTGGTCATCTTTTCTAACTTTTCACCCTTTTGGAGAATAATGTTAGTAAACATGCAGTGGGAATTTTAATTACAACTGAGAACATTCATTGGCAAGGCAAATGGATGGTGGGGGGGGAACCTTTGAAGCATACAAATGGAGACTCGACTTAGAGTTTAAACTGGCTGGTTTTAATTTACTTTTAAAAGCACCATACATTCAACTAAGGAGAAAATCTACTTTATTTACTTATTTAACTCCAAGTTACCTTGTTTTTCTTTAGCAGTTTATTTTGTTTTGTTAATTATTATAAATATTTTAATGTGATCCACAGATTATCACCAGCCACTTGTCCATGGGTATTATAGTTTTGGTGCTTTTAGAAACTTTTATTTTATTTTTCTGCTGTACCTGAAGAATGAGACTGGGTTTCTTTACTTGATATCTTGATTCAGATTTGCTTATTCTTTTCAGTGTTTGTCATTTAAGAGGGATTGTCATCTTTTTTTAGCTTTTAATTGTGACACCTGTGCCACTGTGACTTTAACTCCTTAAAAATTTTTCTCTCTTCTCTCTCTAATGAATTAGCTCATTTACAAAGATTTTGTTCCTAGTTCAGACTTAAATAGTTGATTTGTCTGATCTGAGAGGCAGTTAATGATAGTTTTTCTTTATCTGAGTGATATATGTCTATGGTTTATTCTAGTCACTGTTTTGGATTGTTTGTATTTTTTTCTTCTCTTTACTTAAAGTAGATGACACTTTATTTTTTTTTTTTACTTCCTCATTTTCCCGTAGACATTTATGAATTCTTGCAATATTTATATGGGAATGTAGAGTTTTAATAGGTTTTTCAAGTTAGTTTTCTAAAAAACAACCCATTTATTAACTTTAATTTTTCATCTTGTATGATTAAACAAGATCTGTGGAACATGATCATTTTAAGGATGAATAATCCTTTCAGAATATCAGTTATTTTTCTTGAAACTGCATTGATTCTGTACTAATTTTATTCTCTGTAAGAATAATTGGTTAGCTAGGAGTTGGAAAGTTGAAGTCAGAAAGGATTTGCCATTTTCCATTGTGTTTCTTATGTAGCAGCATAGTATAGGTCAGAGGTAGCCATATGTGGTAGATAATCTCTTGGGTGTGAAATCCTGCCTCTGACACTTATTAATGCATTAATTATATGGCTAAGGGGCATTTAATTATAAAATCTAAAGAATTTCATAGACCATCAGATCATAATAGATTTAGAGCTGAAAGGGACCTCAGAGGATATTCAGTCCAAATCCTTTGTTTTATAAATGAGAAAGATGAGGCACAGGGAGGTTAAGTGACTTATTCAAGATAATTTACTGATTTTAACCCAGGTCTTCCTGACATCAAGACTAGTGCTATATCCATCATATCATGGTGCCTCCCAAATTATAGAAAGATTGTTTTCTATCTTGGTGTAGGGAAATTTCTAAACCATAAGTTACTGTGGATCTCTTACATTGATGAAGTCATGGATAATTCACTATTTCCTATGATTATAGCTATGGTGTAATTGTGGTATCATGAAAGGGTAGTGAAGAAATGGAAAAACTTTTACATGATAGACAAAGAGTTAGGGAATCAGTTGATTGGGGAAAATAAACTTTATATCATGTACTTCAGATAGAGGTTTGCTTTCTCCTTATGGATAGCTGTCAAAGGATATGAGCAAACAGTTCTCTGAAGAAGAATTACAAGCTATTAACCATAAAAAAGATTGTTCCAAATCACTAATGATAAAAGAAATGCAAGTCAGAAAATCTGAGGTTTGTAGGAAATTGTCATTGATGACAAAGGATAATGTTGGAGGGATTGTGGAAAAATACATGTATTAGTATACTTTTGATGAAGCCAGGAATTGCTCTAACCTACTGGAAGGTAATTTGGAATTTCATTAAGAAATTTACCTAAGTGTCCATACATACCATTTGACCCAGAGAGTTCACTACTAGACGGTACTTAAGAGTGGTCAAAGATAGAAAGGAAAGTACGATTTCTACTGACATTTATAGCAAAGCATACATACATACATATATGTATATATATTCTATAGTAGCAAAAAACTGGGAACAAAAGCAGATAACCATTGATTAGGGAGTGACTAAACAAACTTTAACATATAAATATAGTGGAATATTGTTATGATGTAAGAACTTACAAAAATGAAGACTACCTAAAGCAAAGTGAAGTAAACAGAAAACAGTTTTTACAATGACTGCAATAACTTAAATGGAAAGAAGAGCAGCTAAACAAAAACAGAATATTTTCTAATTAGTAACCAATCTTGGCTGTGAAGAACAGATGAGAAAATGTACTTCCGTTTTTGAAGAGGTTGGAGGCGCTGCACATATTCAGTTGGTGTGTTTGTTAATATGGCAGAACTGATTAGTTTCTCTCTTTTTATTCATTGTTACAAAAGATGGTTCTCTGGGTAGGGGAAGAACATTTAGAAATTAAAGTTTTTTTATTTTTTTAAAGATAGTACTGAACTTGTAGTCTGAAAGAACTGGTTTTGAATTTACTGTATTCCATCACAATCTGGTGCGGTAGAGATTATGCTGAATTTAGAGTCTGCTGGCTTATCTGTGGATCCTTGGGCACCTCACTTCAATTCTTTGGTTTCAGGTTTCTTCATCTGGGGACTGAACCGATTAAAGCAGATGATCTAAGAGGTCTAATTATTTGATCCTCTGAAGACACTTACCATTTCTTAATCTGTTTCTTAATCTAAAATATGAAGGGGTTGGACGCTAGGCCCTTTTTGACACTAAATCTTCTGTTCTTGAATTTAGACCACTACTCATGTAATCTTCAAGATAATTTTTTGGAAACTATTGTTTAAAACCTGTTGCTGGGGCAGCTAGGTGGCACAGTGGATAGAGTGCTGGCCCTGAGGTCAGGAGTACCTGAGTTCACATCCGGCCTCAGACCAAACGCTTCACACTTACTAGCTGTGTGACCCTGGGCAAATCACTTAACCCCAATTGCCTAAAAAAACCCAAAAAAACAAAACAAAACAAAAAACCTTTTGCCAAATGAGAAACTTTTAAATGAATGCATAAAATGATACATAGCTTAATTGGTGGTAAATATACTTCAAAATTTATATGAAGCTTTTTTATCCCATTCATGCTGAGCTTTTTAAAAGCAATATGTTTGTGATCAAAAGTTTTTCTTTTAAAATGTAACTTTCTTTTGTAGGAGTCACATGCTGCCCAACTACAGATCCTAATGGAATTCCTCAAGGTTGCAAGGAGAAATAAAAGAGAGGTATATCATTTTGTGTTTGATTTACTGAATGAGTGTTTGCTTGTTTTTTAAGTATTGCTACCTTTCCTTATTTTGTAATAAATCTTCCGTGTGGGCACAGTGTTAATACTTAAGATGAACAAATTTGAAAAATAAGATTTTAAGGTGAGATTCCTGATCACTTCATTTTTTAACTTCTCAGTTGATACAGTTGATTGATTCTTTTGGGGTGGGTTGAAAAGTTTGTCAAGGAATGGTTGTTAAAGACCTGCCCTAGAATTTTGGAGAAAAGATGAGAGTGTGAAGATGGGTAAATATCTTTTTTCACCTAAGATTGAAGTGATTGGGATGCCCTCTGTGGCATCTCAGGACAGGGTGCTAGATTCCTTGGCCTTAAAATGTTCCAGTCTGAGTGTTCCCAGGCTTCACGCTTGTTGGTACTACCCACTGCTGTTGCTCTATACTTTGAAGATCCCTACGTTGCTTTCTTGGGGGAGACTTATTATTGCTCTGGATAGTCTTTTAGGCTGTAGATGTCCCTGGTAATGCCAAGTAGCCTTTCTGCTTGTGGCAACTACTTTTCCTTTTGCCTTTCTGCTTCTGGCTTACCTCTTATATTCATATGGGGTAGAAAAAAGCCACTTACTCTGTTTTCTCTATGGATTTCTTGATCAGTACTCAGACAGGTGCAAATTTTAGGGTTTTATTGGAAAAAGTACATGACAACCGGGCAACTTACCTCCCATTCAGGGAGACAACTTGTCCAGAAGCCTGCAAAATTTTGTTTTATTATGAAGAAAACCTTCTTAACAATTACAGCTGATCAAAAGCAGAATGGGCTGCTTTGGAAGGTTATGGTTTTCCCCTTAGTGGAGGTCTGTAGATAGAGATTGGATGGCTGCTTCTCAGGTATGTGAGGATTTCTTTTTAGGAATGGTTTGGATTAAGTGCCTGCTAGGGAACTCTTTGAACTAAAATTGTTCTGTGACCATATATCCTAACTTTAGCAGATAAAGAGAAGCTGAGCTCACCTAAATTTTTATTTTATGGGTAAGAGGGGGCTTTTCTGGAATACAGCATTCTGAGAGAAGAAAGCAACCCCAATGCAAGGTAAACCATGATGTTTTTATGGTACTGATGACTGGCCAGTAGCTGGGGATGAATATATGGTCCCCTTGAAGTAGTTGAAGAGTTTTCTTCTTAGAGCAAGAGGAAGTATGCTTTAGGGCAATGCCAAGTTTCTAGTTTGCTGAAGACTTGGCTAGTATTAGGGAAATAGGAGGAAGCACTTTGTGGGAGTCTGGCAGTTGGTGGCTGTAATGCATCCTGCAAAGATACCTTCTAAATCACCTCCCCATGGGCTAAGATTCGTGTGAACAAAGTCCCCTTTATCTCATCCTAGCTTTGTTAAAAGAAGTATCCAGGAAGGGGGACTTTCATTTGTCCTGGGATAAGGGATGATGCTATTTCCAAACTTCGGAATGGCCTAAATGCTATGATTAATGTGTGTGTTTTTTTAGCTTATAGGCATGGTACTGGGCATGTAGGAGGTACCTAAGATATTTTTGAAATATTTTATTGATTGAGTAATGATATACTTTGGATGAAACCACCCTGAAAAAGAGCCCTGGATTTAAAGTCAGATTGCCTTGGTTCATATTTCACCTCTCATTTAGTACCTTTGTAATTTTGGGCAATTTTCTTAATTTCTCAGTCCTAAATGTATTCATTGCAAAATGAGGGAGTTGAACCAGATGACCTCTTAGATGCCTGCCAGCTCTAAATCTGTATTTGACAAACATGTTTACTAAAACAGTTGTGTTTTCTATCATTTTTCCTATTCAAAGATGCATCAAAGATGCATTCCAGGATAGCACAAAGATGGTTGTGTTATCCATGTAAATTAAAGGGCAGAGAACTTGTGATTTTTTTCTTTACGATACATTGCCTAAGATGTTGGCTTTGCTTCAGATAGCGTACTATGTTCCTTGCAAAGCATTATTGATGGCTGTAACATTGTAAGTTGTTTATCAAATTTGTTAAAATTTATGCTTATTTTTCTTTGCTATATCTTGACTTTGGGGTCAGTAGTGATTGTTTCCAAGATTTATTTTAATATATATGGCATTCATTGTCAGCTTTATAATTTTTTTATATTATGATTTCATTACCTAAAAAGAGCTTATTCATCTCAGCAAAACAAAATGAAAACTGGCAATTTGGATATCCTGCCACAGGTTGTGGTAGAGGACTGTGATTTCATAATTCAAATGATAAAACATAAGCTTCTTGCTGGTTTATTTTACATCAGTATGTTTGTTCTTCAAAATTTTTTTGAGAGTTTCTGTGGTATATTACAAATATTTTATTATGCACTTAACTTTACATAAAACCAAATAATCATTTATACCTGCTTACCTTGAAGAGATTTCTATATAAAATATGTCCATAATTAGTAGTAGTTGTCTTTTTTATTTCTTCTAATTGTTCACTCATCTCTGTGTTAATTTTTTATATTTTGTTCTGTTTTCTCGTTCTTTGTTTTGAATTATTTCAAATAAGTTTCAGATTGTTCTTAGGTTCTTCAGTAAGTATTTGTCTTATTTGTACCTAGTGCCACACTAGGTACCTGGGAAACAGAGACCAAGGACTAAACAGCTCCTGTTCTCAATGGACTGACATTCAATTGGGAAGGAAAACATGTGCATACATAAGTAGTATGTACAAAATAAATAGATGTGAAATAACTCCAAAATAAATATTAGGTAATTAAGTACAAGATATTTAGGGAGGACACTAGCAGTTAGGGATGGAGGGGGAATTAGGAAAAGCCTTGTGTAGAAGATTGTATTTGAGCTCAATCTTGAAGGAATTAAGAGGTTCTGTGAGGCCGACTCAAGGAGGTAGAGTACTGGGGCAGCTAGGTGGTGCTGTGGATAGAGCCACCAGCCTTGGAGTCAGGAGTACCTGAGTTCAAATCCAGCCTCAGACACATAACACTCACTAGTTGTGTGACTCTGGGCAAGTCACTTAACCCCAATTGCCTCACCAGAAAAAAAAAAAAAAAGAAAAAAAAAATATTCCAAGGCTTGGAGGATGGCCAGTGGACAGTCATGGAGAAAGGAGTTAGATTGCTATGTCTGTGATAGAAAGAAGGGTAGTTTGGTTGTTTCGAAGAATGCAGAAAGGGGAGTAATGTTGAATGAAACCTTAGAGATAGGTTAGTACTAGTTTGTGAAACAACTTAAAAGTCAAAATAAACAAGTTTATGTAGTTAATCCTAGAGGCTTGAGGAAGCAGCTGGAGTAAGGGAGTGGCATGTGACATGGCCAGGTCTACATTTAAGTGGTTTTCACTTAGGCAGCAGTGTGGAGGGATGCATTGGGGTGGGGAGAGACTTGAGTTGAGGGGCCCAATTAGGAGATCATGACAGTAGTACAGGTGGGAGGTAACGAAAACTTGAACTGACTTAATGGGTATGGGAATAGAGAATAGGGCTCAGATATGAGAGATGATTTCAAGGTAAAAATGGCAAGATTTGGCAACTGACTAGATATGTGGGATCAGGGAGAGTGAAGAGATGAGGATGATTACAGGGTTACAAACCTGGAAGACTAAACTTGGGTGGTGCCCTCAACAAAAATAAAAAAAAAATTTCATTAGATGTGAGTGGGGAGGGAGGGAAGAGATAATGAGTTCTGTTTTGGACATGGAGAGCTTGAGATCTGCAGTTCATCCAATTTTAAATATCTGATGTGTGTTTGGTGATGTAAGTGGTATAGCTTTTTTTTGGCAGATAATTTTGCTGATCGCTTTTTTTTTATAATATGTTTCAATGAGTGTGTGATATTAAGGAATGATGAGGGGTTCTCTGAACCTGTCTTTTTGAGTTGCCATATATTTTTTTTGTTGTTGTTTTTTAGTGAGGCAGTTGGGGTTAAGTGACTTGCCCAGAGTCACACAACTAGGAAGAATCATGTGTCTGAGGCTAGATTTGAACTCGGGTCCTCCTAACTCCAGGGCTGGTGCTCTATCCACTGCGCCACCTAGCTGTCCCAGAGTTGCCGTATTTTCCCTGAAACACTGGACCCAGAGTATGCAGGAGGCCCTGAATGTATCTAGGACAGACCTCCTCACTTCCCCCCCAGGTGACATAATGTGTTGTTTGAATCCCAAGCTGAACTCCTTGTGTGTCGTTGGGAGTCAAGGATCAATCAGTCTGGGAGTCAAGACCAATCAGTCTGCCATTCTGCACTAGGATGGGATACAGTTTGTGCAGCTGGGACCTTTATAGATAAGCTGACCATCATATCTTCATGGTCTAGCAGTTTCCAAGAGAAAAGAATGCTGCTTTTGCCATCACCTGGCTTCTCCTTCAGGAGGGGTTTTGTCGTTTTCCAACTTTTACTGCACCTTTTCCCCTTCCCATGCAACACCGCCTTAGGAGGAGAGTTCTGGTTTTTTCTCTTTCCTTTGTTGTACTGTCATAAATATGCAGACTTCTGTATGGATTGTGAACTCTTTGCTCTGGCTTTGGATTCCATATGCATGTTCGTTTCTCTTGTAGTAAGCCTAGTTTCGTGTAAGTTTTGTAGAGTTGTGGTTGCCTGTTGACAATTGAAGACCACCTTTATTAGTTTTTAGCTTTAATGAACCCTCTGGGTATTTTTGCCTACTTGTCTAGGTCTATAAAACAAGAAGCATTTTTATTTGTGTGAATTTGAAGAGTGGTTTAAAAAATAAATCTGGCCCATCTATAAACATTTAATGTCTCTGCAATTATTTAGGATATTTCTCATTTTGATCATTAAGGTTTCAGAGTCAGGTTTATATAGGTTTGTTCCCAAGATTGTTTTTTTAAAAAATAAATTTTTTTTATCATGTTGGTCTTTTTTACTGGTAAATAAGAACTTTTTTCCTCTTAAATTTGTATTCTGAAACTTTGTTCAACTTCATTTATTGTCTCCATTAATTTTTTTGGTTGAAGCTTTTGGATATTCTCGTATTAATATGTTATCTGA